ATCCGTGTTTGTGTTGACCTAGCCATTTTAACAGTTCTTGGAGGTGGTGTCTGAACTAGGGACTCGCATATCAGTCTATCTCGAGTTAAAGATGATTTCTGTCCTTAGTATAGTGGCACATATGACTCGCCATCTCACTTACATATATATATACAGGTAAAGACGAGTAAAATTGTTTTCTTAATTGCTTTTCATCAGTTGTTTACATTGTTACGAGTTGGGGATTTAGAATATAGTTATACGTCTACCCAGATCCCAACAGGTAACAAAAAAACAAAACAAAGACAATCGGACTATAAAAGGGTAGACAAAGGATGCGACTTTTCGTTGTATATAATAAAGTACCATAAATCCTTAACAAAATATTCAGCTTATAAATTACCCTTAAACTTAACCTAAACATTAACAGTATACATATTAATAAAACATAAAACAATCTTGAAGCAAGTGGACGTGGGGGAGGCAATACAAGATACAAATACTTAAGTGAGGAGCTGAGATGGCTGACGAGTAGGCTGAGTATTGTAGAAGACGGTAGGTAGTCACTGCACCGTAGGTTTAGAGGATAGATGATCCTGTGGTCACTTCCCAGAGTGTAGTCTCTCTCCTCGAATTGGAGCTCACAAAGAAGACTTGGAGGAAGTGACGCAACAACCAGGATATGGAGAGAAACAGGGTGTTAACTAAGACGAGTCATACTCGTGTCTCGTCCTAGATGGCGTTGCTCGTGGTGCTGGGTAGGTAGATCAGGACAATAGATGGCGTGGTTCGTAGGTGCTGGGTGGAGGGTTCGTAACAATATACTTTTTACTTAATTATTTATATGTTAATTAGTTACAGGTGTATAAAGGTAAAGGTATTTGTTTGTTTATCTAATTAGCCAAACAGGTATAGTGTAGATTTTACTCTCGTGGTCACAGCTTCTTAGGGGATGACTCGTGTGAAAGAAAACCATTATTTTTTTCATTATATTTTGTATTTTTATATCGATGTTATATACAGATCAAACAGCGATACTAAATACTATGGAGATTTATTATGTAGAGAGACAGACAGACCAAGGGAGAGGGAGAAAAAGTGAGAGAGAGAGAGAGAGAGAGAGAGAGAGAGAGAGAGACAGACAGACAGACAGACAGACAGACAGACAGACAGACAGACAGACAGACTTACAGTATATTATCAGCTGGAAAATACACGGGAACTTTTCAGGACAGTAATTTGACAGACAGCAGTTCGAGGCCGGCAGCCATGGGCAAGGTGACCCCCTGTCCCTCACCACCACCCTCAGGAGCCCCTACCATTGACCCCCTACCAGTGACCCCTACCAGTGGTCCCCTACCAGTAACCCCCAGTGACCCCTACCGGTGACCCTACCGGTGACTCCCCAGTGACCTACCTGTGACCCCTACCGAAGTGACCCCTACCAGTACATTTCCCCAGTGACCTACCTGTGACCCCTACCAGTGAACCCCTCAGTGACCCCTAGTGACCTACAGTGGCCCCCCAGTGACCCCTACCAGTGACCCCTTCCAGTGACCCCCCAGTGACCTACCTGTGACCCCTACCAGTGAACCCCTCCAGTGACCCCCCAGTGACCCCCCAGTGACCCTCCAGTGACCTACCAGTGACCCCTCCCCCTGCCCAACCATCTATATTATATATCTAGTTGTTTACATCCACGAATATTATTGTTTATTGATCATTAAGGTGGATTAACGTGTATAAGACCGACCTAAGTCTGTTTATCCTTCCTGCCCGTTGTCTAATTCATGATATAATACTTCTCTTCTCTTCTCTTCTCTTCTCTTCTCTTCTCTTCTCTTCTCTTCTCTTCTCTTCTCTTCTCGAGTTAGTGCTTTGATATATATACTAAGGCATCTTTTTGCTTCCGTTTGACAATGTTAATAGCTGTGGAGTGTCGAGGTTCTGGAGACAACATGGCGACACAGAAAGACGAGTGAGAAATATAAACAGTGTGTGTCTCTCATCTCTATAATCAGTTTCAAGTCGGAATTCTAGTTTCCTCAGACCTTAAGAGAGACACTCTATGGACGACAAATTACCTAACCTAACCAAACCTAACCTAACCTAACCCGTATACATAACATTGCCTCTACTCTTCTTGATAACATCCGGCATCTATTTCAGGGTCATGTAATAAAGGTAGGATGGAGGTTGTAGGGGGTGAGAGGGGGGAGGATTTTAATATCTAGGTAATGTTTCTTTATATTAGATTATTATTGTGTTCTTGTGTTCTTGTTTATATAATTCATAATTGTAGTTTTGACGAGGTGTAAGTTAATTAATAGAGGAATTAACACCTCAAAATAACTAATAATATTTAAGCTCGTAGTTACTTTAAAGATGGCGGAACAACATGGCGGCTGGTGAGTGTAGAGATGAAGGGAAATACCAAATAGAACTCGATAAATTTATATAAACACAAGATATTTATAGAATTTATCAAGAGAAATATTTACGTGGTAGGAAAGTAAACAACAAACAAAGTGAGAGAAGTGAGAGAAACAACTTTACACCTGAGGAAACGTGAGAAATAAATGTCTCGCTTTTTTTACATTCCACCCACCTGACTATAACACCTTTATCTGTAAATAATAAACAACTTATCAATATAAAGGTACATCAAGATTAAAAGTATTATATATCTTCAATGACATTTATTAAAATCTATGACAACAAGAGGAATTAAGACTTAAAATTGAATATTATTTCTAAATACACATCAGCCATATTGTACCAGGCAGTAATAAATTCAATAAAGTTTTTAGCTTATAATGTAAAGCTTGATGTAATTTATTTTAGTTATATAAGACATAATATCTTCTCTCACTGCCTGATGCAATTTATTAGATACGATGAAAAGGTTAAATCTTATAGTTTAAAAGAAATGGTTTATTCCCAGGGTTAATATAAAAGGACATTATTTACCTCCTACAATACTTCAAGAATCTAATTTATTTTTTCTTCTCTACAGATGTTCCTTCACAGATCTTTGATTTATTATAACACTTGGGGTCAGATTCGTCTCTAAGTAATCTTTTTATGTTCGTAGTAACTCAAGGAACTGTCGTGTGTGTCCCCCAACATCGTCCAGCTCCAGGGTAAAGAGGAAAAGATTTTCTTGTGCTGTTCATTACTGTCTGTCCTCCTGAGTTGAAATAACCATCCGTGTATTCTCTGTATTGATAATCGCATTGTTTTTGTACGTTCAGATAGTTATTGATCACAGGTGGGTAGTAAGTGTCTTGCCTTGGTTGAAACTCTTGGGGAAATGACGTATTTTTCCCACAACATACTCCTCTACTTTGATCTAAATTCAGTGTATCATTTATCTCTGGATTTTGGACTCTCATTTGATTATTTACTCCCGGTATCTTAAAGGAAAGACACCGACGTTTTGAGCCAACATTACCGTCGACCTGCCAGCGCTTTATCCACCTATAGACCGTCGACACACTGGCTCTGGTCTTCATGGCAATATCACGGACTGACACACCATTCACCCACAGCATCACGAACCTCAAGCGATCATCTGTGCTGGTCGGCTTAAACGACTGACGACGGACCATCATCTAGTCTGTGAGGGAGTAAATAAAAAAACTATTTATATTCATAGATTACATAAACATATACCAATACTATAGACGCTAAATTGACTTGATGATGATTCCTATATTTCGGTTACTAAACGACCTAAGGTGATTCTAAGCAGTTGTAGGATTCTAATAACATATTGTGAAGGTAATTGATATTTATTTAATGTTTATATTTAATGAGAGACAAAGATATCGTTTATTAGTCTGGTATACAACTGTTGTTATGAGGCGGTGGCGGTACATCTGTTTATCCCTTGTTAGTCGTGTCAACCTCCCTCTCTCTCTCTCTCTCTCTCTCTCTCTCTCTCTCTCTCTCTCTCACACACACCCAGTATTATCTCATAACAGGAGGAGAACAGCTACAGTTTATCCATTACTGTACAACTGTAACGCCATATTTTGTTCTCACTTTTCACGAGAGGTCTTGTACAGCTGCTCAGTGTAGGTAGGACTATTAATAAACTCCTATATAACATTAACAATACAGGAAATCAACACAGGTAAATTAATTGTCGACTAATGACCACTTCTCCTGGGGTGATACAGGTGAGGGAGGGAGATTCTTAGGAACTCTACTTCAGGTAATAATCTTTAGTTCTTTATAGATATTGAAATATATATAACAGTATTTAAGTAGATTTATAAATATCCCAGGGTACAGTCAACTGAAATAGTCATCCTGTAACATGACTATATTACAGTTAATTCAGTTCATTAAGTATTGTATTCTTATATCATAACTTGTACTGAATTCTCACTTATTTGTCGGAAGGTAATGTCGACGAGCCGTACAGGTGAGGAGCCACAGGTGAGGAGGTCCCGGTAACAGTGTCTAAACTAAAACATAGTCCACCCCGTCTCCTCCTTTTATTACCTCACTACACAAATACTAAATGTCACAACACTTCTCATTGGTCGGTAGTATGAGAAAATGATAGAGATTGGTCAATAGGATGAGGGTGGCGGAGGGAGGGAGGAGGGAGAGACATACATATTTTAGAAGGATTTTTTTTCTTTTTTTGGGGGGTTTGTTTGATTTAATTTCACTATAAATCCGCTAGGTGTCCCCGTGCCCCCCCCTCCCCCACTGATAGACACCCACGGCATTTACTGTAGTGAGGATGATGTTATTGTTGTGGTTGGTGGGCGGGAAGACTCGCCACACCCCGCCACACCCCACCCCGCCACACCCCACCACACCCCACCCCGCCACACCCCACCACACCACACACAGTTTGTTATAGTTTGAGATCAAGGCGTTTTTACACACACACACACACACACACACACACACACACACACACACGAGGATAGTTACAGCCCACACTAACTTATTTACGTTTATTTACAGTCTATATTAAATACATACTGTACTAGGAACTGTCTCGTCAATATGGTGGACGGGACAACAGACACAAGCCATAACTCAACCACCGTCTCACATGGCTCATATAACCAACATTACCCGGAATAGATCAACATAGAAGGATTTATTATAGTAAGTAAACAATTATCATTTTATTGGAATTTATTAGACGAGGAAATGGAAAAATTAATGAAATGTTGACCGAGAGAGAGAGAAGGGTGAGGTATATCCACTACCCACTGCAGGTTACTAGTGCTGTGTTAGCTCTTGAAGACTCAGTTATAGGGTGATCATCAAGGCAGAAAGACGGAAGGTGAAGAACTCTAGGTGGAAAGGAATCAGAGAGAAAGTAACTCGATTCCTAACACCACCAGGGCTAGGACATGACCACCAGCTAGCATCACAAACATTCCCTGTAATATTAAAAAAAAGAGAGTATATTTTCCATTATTTATATATTAATAATCTGAAGTCATTTATAATTGTATATATCATGAGTGTTAGGTGATCATACCCAGAGGTTAGCGACGGAGAGGGAATTATTAACGGTAATCTTGGTAGGAGGTCTTATACATCTGGTGGAGTTGATGCTCAGATGTTTCATCCAATACCCGTAAAGTCCCGCTTCAGTCACCGATTTTATTCTGGGTTTTAAGTAAAGCTCAAATTATTATCTTTATTACTTGTTAAATTATCTTTTAGTGTCTACTATGAAAACTGTTGATAGTTACTCATTTATGGTATTTAAAGTTTTTTTTACACAAAGGAGACAACAGATAACAGACAGACACAACAGATAACAGACAGACACAACAGATAACAGACAGACACAACAGACAACAGACAGACACAACAGACAACAGACAGACACAACAGACAGACACAACAGATAACAGACAGACACAACAGACAACAGACAGACACAACAGATAACAGACAGACACAACAGATAACAGACAGACACAACAGACAACAGACAGACACAACAGATAACAGACAGACACAACAGACAACAGACAGACACAACAGACAACAGACAGACACAACAGACAACAGACAGACACAACAGATAACAGACAGACACAACAGACAACAGACAGACACAACAGATAACAGACAGACACAACAGACAACAGACAGACACAACAGATAACAGACAGACACAACAGACAACAGACAGACACAACAGACAACAGACAGACACAACAGACAACAGACAAACACAGAGATAACAGACAGACACAACAGACAACAGACAGACACAACAGATAACAGACGGACACAACAGACAACAGACAGACACAACAGATAACAGACAGACACAACAGACAACAGACAGACACAACAGATAACAGACAGACACAACAGACAGACACAACAGACAACAGACAGACACAACAGACAACGAACAGACAACAGACAACAGACAGACAACAGACAGCAGACACAACAGACAACAGACAGACACAACAGACAACAGACAGACACAACAGATAACAGACAGACAACGCAGACACAACAGATAACAGACAGACACAACAGACAACAGACAGACACAGACAGATAACAGATAACAGACAGACACAACAGACAACAGACAGACACAACAGATAACAGACAGACACAACAGACAGACAGACACACAGACATACACAGATAACAGACACACAACAGACAAACAGACAGACACAACAGACAACAGACAGGACAACAGACAACAGACAGACACAACAGATAACACAGACAGACAAGAGACACAACAGACAACAGACGGAGAACACAACAGACAACAGACAGACACAACAGATAACAGACAGACACAACAGACAGACACAACAGACAACAGACAGACACAACAGACAACAGACAGACACAACAGATAACAGACAGACACAACAGACAACAGACAACAGACAGACACAACAGATAACAGACAGACACAACAGACAACAGACAGACACAACAGACACCAGACAGACACAACAGATATATTAAGAAAAACAGTTGAAGGGATTGATCAGACATAACACAACAGAAACTCATCACCTGTTATTCAAGGCAGGAACAAGAGGGTGGTTCTTCTGTCCTATCATGCTAAGGAACACAGGCAAGAACACCTCCCGAGACTGGTAGAAGTTACACTCACCTGTCATGAATAATTATAATGACGTCAGTTACATATCAACCAAAATATCATAGTTACTCATTAAACTAGTAGTATGAGTTTTCTTTAATACATCACATTTCCCTTTTTCTTTTATTTAATTTTAGGAAGACTTAGGAATTCAGATTTAGATGATAAGGACAAATGCTAATCGTATGTAATGTTCAGAAATCATTGATAAATTATATAAAATTCACAACATATGGAGAATGAATGCATATTTGAGTTTATATACAAAGTGTAGGGAATATATAGTGACACAAGGCAAATGTATACAAACGGCAAAACAACTGAATAACGATTTTAGTTTCAGGACACCTATGAGAGAAAAATGATCCGCCATGATGACTTTCCCAGTAAGGTCTTCAATAACAAGGGCGTGGCGTCCCTCCGTTACTAGGGTATCCGCCATGTGTAAGTACTCCGTCGTTAGCACCAGCTTGAGTCTGCCGTCATTCTCAGACGCCATTACTTCACTAAATATACCAGTCTTGACAGCCTTGAATATTATCAGTAAATTAGTATTTCAGCATTATGAATTAAATCTAATCCGTTTCAAACAGTATTATATTTAATGAAGAAACAGATTATAACACCCAGTTACGATTCGATTTTGTTTTTCTTCACTGTACACACACACACACACACACACACACACACACACACACACATACACACACACTCAAAAAAAAGTATCTTTATGGAGGTGTTGGTATAACTTTTTTATAATGAGTGACAAAATAACAAATAGAAACTTGATAAAACTACTCTGAGACCTAACCTAACCTAACCTAACCAAACTTAACCTAACCTGAAGGTACTGCATATAGACCGTGCCGACTTCCCAGATCATGGTGGTGGAGCGGTCGTCGAGGAGTTCTCTGAGTGACTGGAAGGGCTGAGGGATGTATCTCACCGCCAGAATAGACATGAGGGTGCCCGCGTAGCTCCGTATCAAGACGAGCACCATCAACATCCACGCCCCTAGCACCAGTCTCTCCCACCACCACCCACCAGTCACCCAGGCGTCTGTCATAGCGGCATCATGTGAGGTCCAACTTACACCAATTTTAATACAATTGAAATTTCTTATTTTATCTAAAAAAATTCTAAACTCTAAGATCATATTATTAAAAGTATTAATACTATTACATCCTGTTGTTGACTCTATTACATAATATGACTTATTGCATAACGTTACCATTTAGAAGTTATTTATGAGAGAGAGAATGAAAAAAATAATAATGGGATGTGATCTATTTTGTACATCTTTTCTGTCCACCAGTATGATTTGTGATTATATTTTATAATGGTAATTTACCTTACCACTAATTACCTTACCTTAACACTAATTAACTTACCTTGCTGGAACAAAACTCGAATGAATGAGAAGAAAATGTCCAGGAACCATTCGAGTCGATTATGACGCTGAGGAAGAAAACAGAGAGACAGCAGAAACACGGCCACCAGCACCACCGCCAGCGTCACCAGGATGGACACCCACACCAGGGGCGCCAGAGGGAGTAAGAACCCCCATGGGTCTACCTCTGGATGCCCTAACCCACCCATGATCCTCAGGTTGTCGATGAGTATTGACCTCGTGAAGTCAACCATCTCGGCTCGGGTAGCACTTACACCAAATGGACCCAGACCAAGATCAGCCTCCTGCACCGCCCGGAGAGAGAGAGAGAGAGAGAGAGAGAGAGAGAGAGAGAGAGACTTAGTAATAAATTAAAAAGACTAATATCAATAATGCTCAGCCTACACTTTACCTGTCCACTATATTAGACACTATCACAATCATCATACCTGCTCTGCCCACCATACCTATTGGGGTCTGTCACACTCACCTGTCTACCCACCATGCCCACCATACCCGTCCAGGACCCGTCTGGGAGTTTAGTTCCCCACGCACCGTCAGAAGGCCGCGAGAATGTGTACCTGAAGAGATGAATGTGTGTTACTCCTACCAACGTCTACGCTTATATTATGTTGTTAAGTCTACAGTATTTTTAGTATTATAGTTTGTTTAAATACATTCTAGCTTGTTTGTTTATATACATTGTTTATATTACATTCTCCCTTTTTGTATACATGCTTGAGAAAACAACTTTAATACCATCACTCCACACACACACACACCAAACAAAATAACAACAACTCACGTAAAATTACAAGTTTGAGCCAACAGGTCGAGGAGGTAAACGAGAGGACCCGTGAAGACGTGAGGGTGTTGAGGTGACGGGGCCATGTTGTTGACTACATGCGGCGGGAACTCCTCAGATGCTACAACGAACTCCGGCCCGTACACCAGCCTGACCAGGTGAGTGACGGGAATACCACAACAACCACGACGGTGTTGATGGTGGTAGTAGTAGTAGTAGTAGTAGTAGTAGTAGTAATGATAATAAGAGATATTTTCTACGTAATAAAAGCATAGTAATTTGTAAACATAATTAGGATAATATAAATAATAACTCAGTGGTGGAACAGGTAACTTACTCACCTGGCGAACTTATCAGGGAAGAGTGTGTGGTGTGAGGTAAGGATGAGGCCACGGCGGGGCGACCACTGAGCCACCTCCACTACTTGAGGACTGTAGGGCAGGTGCACGTACACCACACACCTGTACACGGGGGTTATAAAATCTGAGAACTTGTTGTGGAAGAGAAAGAGACTGCTGTATTTTTTCGCGTCTCAGGTGCTCATGACGGCTGACCACACTAAGCTTCTCAGGGGAAGTTTCAAACAAGAGACGTAACTTGTTAGCTCGTGTAGTTACAGTGATTTGAAGAATAATTATTCATGTTTGTGATAATCAAGTAGAAATACCCAGTAAGGCCTCTAGGCATATAACAATGTTATACCTCAACTTTTCACGAGAAAGGAACTTCAGTGAACCGTAATGTATTATACCAGAGGGAGGCAGCTTTAGCAGCATGGCGGCTGGTCATTACCTGGGGTAACCGGAGGTGTCGTCCAGGAGGAGCAACATGGCGGCTGGTTATTACCTGGGGTAACCGGAGGTGTCGTCCAGGAGGAGCAACATGGCGGCTGGTCATTACCTGGGGTAACCGGAGGTGTCGTCCAGGAGGAGCAACATGGCGGCTGGTCATTACCTGGGGTAACCGGAGGTGTCGTCCAGGAGGAGCAACATGGCGTTCATCATGGAGAAGGAGGTGTGGAGGTGGCGGAGGTGAGAGAGAGGCCGGCGGGTGACGGCCAGGAGCCTGTTGGTCCACACCAGGAGGCGGCCCTTGAAGATCCACTCAGCCGAGGCGGCGAGGAAGGCTGAGTCGTCGCTCACCACCACCACCGTCACGCACCACGACACCTGTCTCACCTGTTGATGTGTACCTGTTATTAGTTATGTGTCCTGCCTAACTGGCCTGCATGCCCCACTGTCCTGCCTCACTGTCCTGCCTCACTAGTACTGTGATTGACCTACCCGTCGAGCCTGGGCCACCAGCCGGGACAGCAGCGCCTCCGTCATGTTTGGACTTTTGCCTTCTGCTGCCACCTGGAACACCGTCACCCCCCAGGGGGCTCCCAGCCCTCCCAGCTCCTGAAGTGACAAAATAACACCAACTGAAGCTCAGTATTATAGTGAAGTAGTGTTACCTGTGGCCAGGTAATATAAGAACACAGGTGAAGGTGCAGTAGTGTTACCTGTGGCCAGGTAATATAAGAACACAGGTGAAGGTGCAGTAGTGTTACCTGTGGCCAGGTAATATAAGAACACAGGTGAAGGTGCAGTAGTGTTGACTCACCGTGAACACAGTGGTGGAGGAGGTGGTGCCGTCTGTGAGGAGGATGACGGAGCAGCGAGGCCGCCACACTGTGGCCGCCACAGCCGCCACAGCCGCCCCCGCCACGCTCAGCGTCTCTCCCGCACCTGAGGAACACAACAGTGTTGATGATGATGACATGAGAAAGATGTTTACGCTATTATGGACAAGACCAACCAACACGTAGAGACAACTGTTGTCAACTACAGACCTTTATTAACTTATAAAATATTAATTAACTTCATCAATCAGTCAGAGGTTATAACTTACCCTGAGGGCGAGGCAGCTGGGCGACAGTCAGGCAGACAGTCAGGACCAACAGCAGTGAGGCCGCAGCCGCCGTCATCACCCCGGCTGTCGGGACACATCACAGACACAGATCACTAACGCCACCTACTGCCTCTACCCTCACCACTAGACTGTTTATCAACACATCACATCCTTTTCTTCTGTTCCGACTTAAGACTCTCTTAAATTAGCAAAAAATGAGGAAATACACACACACACACACACACACACACACACACACACACACACCACGATAAACAGAATCAGGACAACAGATTATAAAACAAAATAATATTAAATCATTTTTATTCATTCTCAGACAACATTATTTACCATCACAGTTATATATAAATATTACCAAACATTAACACAGCAGTTACACAATTCAACAAGTTACATTAACAATTAAGTTGATATGAAATGTTAAATAGAGATCAATTAACCCAATTTAACCCTACTGAAGTACTTATATTAATAAATTATAATAAAATAGGTAATAAATTTATATATAGCAAAACTATATTAATTAATTCTCATTTGATTCTATAATTATAACATTGAGGGAACTTCACAACCAATCACAGGATACTTTTTGGGGGGAAGTTTAATGTCATTGGTTATTTAAGTCAAACCTATAAACTAAAGGAATAATATTTTAGGGTAAGTAGCCAATCATAATACAGTAATTTTTTAAACCAGGAATTATAATTTTTTAGAAGACGTATTTCTATTTTATTAACATTTATTAAACTCTGAGGGAATGTTATGCCTTAGTCACTACGAGCACTTGTCAATACACCGTAGACTCGGGCGTAGAATTTGTTTATATAAATTCTTTTCTCTTGCATTATTTTATTTCTGAATAGTATTAACATATTTTTTTTTTATCTTGCAGTCTCCCACGAATTTATAATCTGCTTTCCTTCACTGTCTAGTTTCCACATCAGTTGGTTTGTTTTGTCTGTGAGAGTAAGTTATGGTGACTCCTGTAGTGGGTACATGGAGATGTGATGCCCCCAACACCTTCCTGCCAGGGTATTATGGGCAGCACATCACTAAATCCATTCCTTGTGAAGTGACCCCATGAATTGGAAGTGATATCTGGATACCCCATATTATATCGGTAATTACGGTTTGTATTGTGGAGATTTATACCGTTGGTGAAGACAGATTTACAGTGACTATCTCCTCTCGTCTGGCTGCCACGGGAGAAGGGGGTATTTAGCGTGGGGTAAACCTGACGTAGAGGAACATCAACTCTGGTGGTGATCTTTGGAGGTGGATTGATGATTGCTTGTTCACGCCACATTTCTTTGTCCCTCACCACCTTCAGAGAGAGACAGGTACGTCGTTTTAAGCCAGAATTCCCCTCTCGTTGCCATCGTCTTATCCACCTGTAGATAGTCGAGATACTAGCTTCCGTCTTCTGGGCTATGTTCCGCACCGATACGCCATCTAGCCACATCAACACGAACTTCACCCGCTCGTTTAAATCCGTCGGTCTGAATGCGCGCCGACGGACCATATTTTTTTTTTTTATGTTTTTTCTGTATGGAAGGAAATAAATACCAGTTCATTTACATAATCATCCTAGTGGGAGTAGTGGTATTTGTCTACACGTTTGTTTAATTGTCAGCAACACAAAGATAGATTTGATCAATTATTTTATTCTACGCAACACAAACTAGAGAAAATGCAACACTTAATTTTCTTCCTCGAAAAAATTAGACAAATATTACGAGTCAATTTTATCTATTGTCGATTATTTTGGTTTGACCTTACCTGTGCTTAATGAGTTTTGCCTCACGTGTACCTCAGGTGAGTCTAATGGAAGAGTTTCAACAGGTAGATTTAACTTCACCGTTGCTACTGTTTATTTGTGTTTATTATATATTTCCTTTGTTTTTATTAAGGTTTTAGGTGACGATAATTGAGGGAGTAAATGAGGACTTAGGTCAGGTCAGGTTAGGATAGGTTAGGTCAGGTTAGGTTAGGTTAGGTTAGGTTAGGATAGGTTAGGTTAGGTCAGGTCAGGCTAGGATAGGTTAGGTCAGGTCAGGATAGGTCAGGTCAGGATAGGTCAGGTTAGGTCAGGTCATGTTATTGCCCCCCTTTCACCAGGTATAATATAGCTATAGGAGTTACTTGTACAGTATATGTTATCAGTTTAAAATGAAATCAATTCACAATAATCTAAGAGAAGTCGGTAAGTAAATATCCTACACACACATATATATACACACGTATACATACACACATACCGATATATATACATACATACACTCTTACATATATACATACACCAATACACATACCTGAACACTCCTATACACACAAATTATAATAACAATCACCAGTTGTATACATATCACTAAATAGCTTACACTGAGAGAGAGAGACCCAGGTGGTAGTTGGTAATAATGCAATACTCACCTGTAGGCTAATATCTGTCAGTATATATGGTAAGACTGATTACAGGTGAGGTGGCGTACATGTGTGTGTGTGTCTGGCAGGTGAGAGTTAACAGCAGCAACAGCACACTGAGCCCTCCTCCACCCTCTCTCCTCCTTATATTGTCATGAAATACACGCCACATCGCCTTTCATTGGTCGACACTGTGAGGAAAGAACTGTGATTGGTCAGCTTGTAAAAATCACCGACCAATGAGGCTAATTAGATGGAGTATACGTCACATATAATTAAATAAGGTAATTAATGTTCTTAAGTATTATTATTATAGTTTAAGTTTATTATTGTTTTTATATTTTGTTGATTATTTTTCTAAGAATATATAATAAGGGAAGAGACTTTGGATACGTTATATAGTATGTGTTGTGGTCCCTCTCTCTCACCTGTAAACTAAGAGAGAGAGAGAGAGAGAGGGGTTATGACTCTCCCCTTAACCCCTCCCCCCCCCCTCCCCTCCCCTCTCCCCAAAGATGTCTCCCGCCCCTGTTGGACACTTACAGCCTATACTACTGTGGTTGGCGGGTGAGACAACTATGGCAAGAGACGTAGATAAAACACAGGATTATTATTTTTTCCAGGTCTTTAATTAATGACTTGTTTATTGTGTTAAATTGTTTATGTTTGACTTATGTATTTGTATATCTGAAATAATCAAGGACCGCCGCTGGATGTTTGTACAGGAACTAAACAATTGATTTGGGGACCTGTTTAAGGCCTCAGATACAAGTAATATTCACTCCCATACAAGCCATCAATACTGAAACACTCAAAAAAAATAGTTATTCTAATCTTTGTTATGTCACTTGACAGAGTACAGAATTTCCTTCAAATAATTATTAATTTTGGGTCATATTTTACTTTTCCTGTTGTGAACTAGTCCAGGTACCAGATACAGATACGAGGTTGTAACGTGTTTGAGGGTCTATTTAATGCTTTATTATTGATTATTATAATTTAGTGTCAATATAAAACAGATGCTTATTGTCCCGTTGTTGCGGTCTCGGCGGGAACATTGGTTGGGTCCTCGGGTAGGGAGTACAACTCTACCAACGCCGGACTTTGTGATTTGATAGTTTATGGACTAAGTGAACGAGTATCATCAACCTGAAAAACACAGTTGAAAGGCATAAGGACTTCTTTTCACAGTTATACCGTCACTGGGCCATGACGTGATCTCAAACATGTGTAGAAGAGGGAAGACATTATTGTTGAGAGTTTTATAAATTAGAATTTCCTTATTGAGACTGTAATAAAAATAATGTTATATTCCAGGCCTCTTCAGTCATGGATCTTACTAAGAAATACAATAGATAAAAATATATCTTTTCACACTAAGACCATCTAGACCTGTAAGATAACACCCCTGAAGGCTCTCTCACACACTACCCACAGATATCCACACAGAACATGTTTACAGTGAGTATTAACAGATATCCTACTAAGCCAACTGTGCGGGTCATAAGTCTTCCCCTACATCGACCATCTCACTATGACAGGCAACCAGGGGAAGAAGACCTCCCTCACCACACTGCCACCTGACGTAACAACACCAACACCTCTTAAAGTTCTACAGATTCTCAAATGCCTGTTACTTTGATCGACTGTGTTACATATATAGGTAAAGTCTGTGTCACTGTTCAAGTATTATGTTCAAAATTCTGTTCTCAGGAAGTGTATCTATGTTATAAATATTTTTTTTTCAATTGGCAGCGTGTCTCCTCGGGTTAAGGAAGGTTATACAATGATGGTTACTTTATGGACGCCCCTACACAGCACTGACGAGTATTACTGTGTGTGTATAATCCTGTACAGTGAATAATAATTGGTTAAAAGATCCTACTTGTGTATTAATATTATTTCTATACCAACGTGATTAACAATAACACGGTGCATATTATTTTTTTTTATAACTAACAGGTGAGGGTCTTCAGATTATATATATGTAAATTATAGTGTAGTGAGATATATATAGTAATTTATATTGTTATAGTGTGTGTTGGTCTGGTGGAGGTGTGTTCCTCAGGTGTCTTAACTAATGAACGCTGTTACCTGGGCGTCTTGTAATGTTAGTTTGTGATATTTTCTGCCTTTTTTATAGGTGTTTTAATGATTACATACATACATACAAACATACATACATACATACATACATACATACATACATACAGAGCTTGTATAAGAACGAAATTTGTGCCAAGAGTTGTCGAAAAGAGATGTTTAGTTCCCTGTGTGAAGGCTGTGTCAAGGATGTGTGAAATAACCCAGACTGTTTAATAATCTTATGGTTGTGGCAGGAAGAAGTGAGAAAATGGGAGAGAGAGAGAGAGAGGTGTGGAGAATTACCGAACAGCACTGAGTGTATACGGCAGGCGAGTCAGCTTCTGGTTATATGACATTATCGTTGGTTCTGAAAACAAGTAATAAATCCTAGTACGTGAATTTAAGGAAAATATGAAGCAAATTAATGTGATGAAAATAAAAAAAAAAACAGGAAGAAAATAGCTTAAATAAAGATAAAATACAAGAAGTGGAATTTCTTTACATATTTTAGGCTCGTTGTGTCACCATATCAACCAATGAGTAAAATGAACTGAACCACAAGGGACCCAAAAGACGCGAATTAAAACCTTTCTACAATTCGTATGTCAAGTAACTTCAGAACTGACCCAAGGATGTTAAGCTGTTATTTAGGTTAGTGTGTTTGTTGAAGAATATCATCACGTGCTAGAATATCAACTTTGGATTATTGTTTAAAATTGCTGTTAGTAAATTCAGGTGTGTGTATTGTAGTGTGCTTTGGGAAATTGGTTACAATTGTTTTTCTTTTAGTTATAATTAAACAGGTTTATGAGTATCATAGTATGATTTCTTTGTTGTGGTTGATTGTGGTATTAATCATTCGTTGTGCCTTACAAAGAGTTGAATAGGCTAGCTTTGTTGACCATGGTGGAGCAATGTGATCTTCTTACACATCATTATCCTTATCACAGTGAGACGATAAATATAATCCAGTTCAAATTATATCCAATTCGTATTAAAAACAGAATGAATCGTTTTACGAAATATAAAAACAAATATGTGTTTTAGGGACGTTCTTCATCCTTACGAGCAGATGCAACTTGATGTTCCTTATACCCACTCAGATCACAGCGTCGTTCTTTGTTGGTTAAGCCTTGAATGACCGACCTCCCACTATGACTATCGACCTCACATGACCTGTCCTAATACAGTAAAAACAGTGTCAGTAATTATTTCGTGTTGACCTCATGTAATCCTTCTCATCCAGTGATTCAGTTGGAGGTGGCTGTTGGGGTGTCAAATTGAGGTCGAATTTGTCTAAGACGCTTGTGATTTAATAACCTATTGATTAAGAAATATGTTGTAATGTCTACTGGCTTATAACGTAGCAGCTTCACTTACACCCAACATTTATCACTCCTAAATCTGTCCAACTTTCAATTCAAATACTGAGTGTTGTGGCGGCACCGTGTGTGAGCGAGCTTCAGGACCAGACTTGACCAACACTGGAGCAGGTTCAGGTACATTCAGGAGCCAGTACATGCCCAGTACTTGCCAACAGTGTGTAACAGAGACGTGACCGATCGCCATAGCGGCTAACGAGCCGATCAGTGGTGAAGAGGATAAACGTAAGTAAAAGTTAATAATTTTGTTCCAATCATCTATACATCTTTATTTATTTCCTATATTTAAATCTCTCTCATTAATTCAATATTTCGAGATTTTCTTGATTTTGGTGTCAACAAACATCGTCTTTAGCGTCTGTCTTCTGTTTCAAACGTTAAGTGGCACTTTTTTTTTTACTTTTATCCTCTTCACCACTGATCGGCTCGTTAGCCGCTTAGGCGATCGGTCACGTCTCTGTTACGCACTGTTGGCAAGTACTGGGCATGCACCGGCTCCTGAATGTATCTGAACCTGCTCCAGTGTTGGTCAAGTCTGGTCTTGAAAGAGCTCACACTCGGTGCCGCCACAACACTCTCTGGCAGGTTGGTCCAAGAGTTCACAACTCTCACTCCGAAAAAGTTTGCCCTCACAGTTTTCTGGACCTGCGGCTTCTTCAACCTTGAGTTGTGACCTCTTGTGGGGCGAGCGTCCGCCAGCTCCCGGTATGGACACTCGACTGAGTAGTGCCTTTTGAGATGTTTATACACCTCAATTTGGTCTCCCCTTGCCCGTCTGTATTGCAGGCGTTCTAATCTCTCAGGGTAGCTGAGGTGCCGAAGTGCTGTCTGGTGGCTCTCCTTTGGACATTTTCAATCAACTGACAGTCCCAAGTATATCTTGGGGACCAGACTCCAGGCGGGGAAGCACCTCACTCTTGAACGACCTTCTTATAATATTACTATTCAATCTTAATTATCTCCCCATAAATATTCTTAGAATACATTAGGCTTATCAGGTAATGCTATAAATGTAGTCAATTTAGTCACTAACACCAGGCAACACGGAAGCCATTCTCAGTCTTGAATCATATTGTGTATGTTTAAGACTCTTATGTACTGCGGGTTATGTCTTTTAACTCTTGTTTATGTTGTGGAGGTGAGTGTGCGGCTGCTACTTGATTCAGACAACTGTACCCCACACCAAGAAAAGAATGGATCGCTTTCTTACCAGAGAAATTGCTGATATACTCTATCAATTGAGTCCGAAAACGAAAATAATTTAGTTAAGCTGCAGTAGAAAATGTTAGTAATAATGGAAGGCATAAGTTATCGTCACACCAACCACTTGCCCATAGAAAACGAACAAAATTATAGAAAACGCAGTCCTGTATAGTGATGATAATTTAGGGATAACTGTATCAATTGTGTAAAATGAACCTAAGCACTCGGGCCACAGTGTATTATTTGTAATGGAGTTTTTACCAATGAGGGTTTTGAAATATCTGATCTAAAGAGACACTTGAAAACAAATCATGTACAACTCTTTGATAAACCTCTTGAATAATTATTTCCAAAAGAAGGAAGCAGGAATTAAAGTTATCAGCAGAAATTCTTAGTAAACTGATCTATCTGAATGACAAATACAAGTTCGAAACATTG